CAACACACGTTCAGGACATCTTCCAGCAAGCTCATCCGTTCTTGACCAACCCCCCGTCGAAGACCATTCGGGTCCCTAGGAGATATCATCTGGGGGACTACCACACCCATCGGCAACAGTTGCTCCCGGAGCATTGGAGGAACTCCACCAGTAGGTAGCCACGCTTACTCAACTATTATATCAGAGAAACACACCCCCAGTGCTATCTCCGTGGAGTGGTCCCCGACCCAAGCCACGGTGATGTCGGAGCCTCGGACACACAGCATATCCCCGTAGGTTCAAGATCAATTACTATGGACTAGGCTGATCTTGCACGAATCATCCAAGAGGGAATCATAGCCGGAATGCTCCAGAAGTCTCAGACAGTAACAAGATTCACCCCTAACACACCTTTTACCCCTGAAGTATTATCATACCCCCTACCAGATCGATTTAAGTACCCTCGAGTGAAGGAGTATGACGGGACGACTGACCCCATCAACCATCTCAACATATACACGGATATCATGAACTTGCAGGTCAAACCCGATGCTGTAATATGCAAGGTCTTTTCTTAGACACTTACCAACGAAGCTAGAGACTAGTTCTCCACATTGGAACCTAACTCTATATCCTCCTTTTTGGGCATGGCTAATAAGATCTCCACGTTCTTTGCAAATAGTAAGTGCATCAGGAAAACAGTCGCGTCACTCATGCAGATGCGTCAAGGACCCAATGAGGCACTTCTCAATTTCATGACAAGATTTAATAAGGAAAGATTTATGATCTCCGATCTACACATCATAGCTGCAGTCTCTGTCCTAACATATGCCGTAAGATGTGAGGATTTTTAAAATGTCTTTGTCAAAGACCACTCCCAAGTCGATAACTGACCTACTGACTCGAGCTGAGAAATACATCAACATGGAGGAGACTATGTTTCCCAGAAGAGATGCCATGTCATTAAAGAAGCCTGACCTAAAGAGGCTACATGAATCCAACCAGCGCCCGGACCCCTTTCGAAGCAAACCAAGGCAAGACCCTCATCCAACATCTTTCACTCGCTTAAACACCACAAGGACTAACATTTTGATGGAAATCAAAGATCTTAAGGAGTTGAAGTGGCCTCCGAGACTACGGGCTACACTTGAGGCCCGTGACAAAAGCAAATACTGTGACTTTCATCAGGATCATGGACACACGATCGAAGGATGCTT